AGAGGCATGGCAACCCTCGCTGCCTCCTCCTCGAGGAAGCTGTGAGCGGCAGTGTGGCCGGGGTGTCCTCCAACCCCCACATGAGTGACTGGGGGCCACAGCAAGGAGCAGGCAAGCCAGTGAAGGCCCAGCTCCTTCACTCCTTCTGGCCAATGAACAGATTCAGGCAAAGCTGGGGGCATCTGCCAAGTCCCCTTAGCCATGTAACGTGACACTCACCAGTTCCAGGGATTAGGATGTGGACAGCTTTGGGGCTGCTGCCAACCACATAAAATAAAACCAATTTGCCATGTGTGCAAGGCAGGGGCGATTGGAGAACAAGAAGCATCCGTCTTTTGGGATTAAAAATATGATGACAAAACCAATTCAATGGAGAGGCTAATTAGCAACATGGCACAACAAAAGATCAAGCTGATGATATGAAAAACAAGAGAATGAAAATGGAGAATGAAGCGTCAGGAGGCCAGAGATAAACCAGGAGGGGAAACATTCATTTAACAGAGGTTACAGAAGAGAAAATGGGGATGGCAGATGGGAATACAGTCACATAATTAATAGAACAAACTTCCTAGAGCTGTGAACATTGGCACAAGTGTGGATTGCCAAGCGTGACTGTGATTCATTTCAAGATATGCCCTGACCAAATCTAGGATGCCAACGACAAAAAAAAAAGCAGTTTCCAGAGACAGGCAGAAATAAAATGCCAATCTACAGAAGAAAGAGGGTCCCACTGACCTCAGAACGCTCACTGGACACAGTGGGCGCTGCATGACGGGGAGAAAGCCATCAAGCCTGGAATTCTATACCCAGCACAATTATCAATCAAGCATGAAGGGCAATGAAAGGCACTTTCAGACATTTTTAGGACTCAGAAGTTTACTTTCCACACAACCCTTCTTCAGTTTTCTTTAGGAATATAATTCAGTGGGATGAAGAGGAAGTTCAGGACCTGAGCAGATGTGGGATCCACAGGATGATGGAGCCCACCCAGGCTTAGAGAGATGAGGGCCCAGGGGTGGCCACTGGGCAAACAACTGATGCAAAGGAACCCAGGATTGAGAAGGCCATAAGGTGAGGGTGCTGAGGGCCAGCCCTGCAGTCGGGAACATCTCCAGGATGTGTTCCCCAGTCACATCGTCAAGAGGCCTGAGCTCACATGGCAGCAGAGCCCAGCTGTCAGAGCAGCCGCTCCATGCCACGTTGCCTGGGTTCAAACACGGTTCTGGTGCTGACAAGTCCTGTGACCTTGAGCGTGTGGCCTGGACTCTCTGAGCTTCAGTTTCCTCATCTGCAAAATGGAGTGAAATACAGAACCTACGTCCCTGGGGTGTTGTGGGGAATGACACGTTAATACATGTAAAGGGTGCATGCTTGGTAGATATTATTATTGTTATTAATTATCTTTGTGTCTGCTCTGAAAAGCCATATGAAAAGTCAAGATCCAAACCTAAAACAAGCCAAAATAAGTCTGGGAAATTAATAGAGTGTCAGGAAAGTCAATTATATTGTCTCGAGCATTGAAAGTTCTTCATTAAGTAGCACAGGCTTAGTGGATGATAGAATTATATTTTGGTCCTAGTGGTTCAGGCCGTGCTGGTGCCATGGTGAATAATAGCTACGTAATCCTGATGTGGTCATGTCAATTCACTTTTTTTTTTACTTTTTTTTTTTTTTTTTTGAGATGCAGCTTCACTTTGTTGCCCAGGCTGGAGTGCAGTGGTGTAATCCCTGCTCATTGCAACCTCTGCCTCTTGGGTCCAAGTGATCCTCCTGCCTCAGCCTCCTGAGTAGCTGGGATTACAGGTGTGGGCCACCATACCTGGCTAATTTTTATATTTTTAGCAGAGATGACATTTCGCCATGTTGGTCAGGCTGGTCTCCAACTCCCGACCTCAAGTGATCCACCCGCCTCAGCCTCCCAAAGGACTGGGATGACAGTTGTGAGCCCCTCGCCCGGCTGCTTCTCATCCTAGAACTACCCTGAAGTCAAGTCCTGTGGACCGCTCACTCACAGTCATAGAGCTGAGCATAGGTGTCGCATTCACCTTCGAGCACATAAAAGCAGCAACACAGCTGAGCAGCCAGCCCCCAGTGGGGCAGGGCCCCGATTTCTCCTCTGAAGAGGTAAGGAATCAAGAGATGCTGGCTGGAGTTGAAGCTTCCAGAAATAGAGGCTTAAATGTTCCTTTTGAAGCCACCAAGGTAACCATAGAATAACTAAAAATAATAGCTAAGAAAAACTGAGGGAAGGAGGAGGGGGCAGGCGAAGAAGGTGAAAATGGGCTCGACTTCTCCTTTTTCATGCCAAGAAGTCAGGGGCATCATCCCAGGCTGACCAGGCAGGACCCAGATCGCAAGCTTACCACGCTTGTGTGCTGTAGACACCGTGAAAAGAACTCAAGCCAGAAAGACGACTCTCCTCTGGAGTGTGGAACTCGCAGACAGACAGTGCAGATGTTAACTCTCTGTTTTATGATTTTTCTGGATTGTTTGAATTTTTCAATGTGTGCATGTTTTACTTTTACAAGTGAAAACGTAAAGTCCCAATGCCAGGCATCAGGCACCCATCCCAAACTGTGATTGGGCACCAAAACCATGCTCGGCCACCTGACCCACACCCAGACACCGGACCCACACCCAGACACCTGACCCTCCCGCCCAGACACCAGACCTGCGCCCAGACACCTGAACCACACCCAACCCCCGCCCAGACACTCAACCCTCTGGCCCAGACACCAGACCCACACCCAGACACCTGACCCTCCCGCTCAGACACCTGACCCACACCCAGAAACCCGACCCTCCTGCTCAGACACCTGACCCACACCCAAACACCCGACCCTTGCCCAGACACCAGATCCGCACCCAGACACCCAATCCATTCTCAGACACCCGACCTGTGCTCAGACAGCTAACCCGCCCTCAGCCACCCGAACCACACGTGAACCATGTTCGGACACCTGAACTGCACTTGGCCACTTGAACCACCCTCAGACACCCAAGGCGCGAGCCCCGCAAATGCTGGGACATCTCTCAAGTTAGAGGCTGCTGTGCCCGCCTCTGGGAGACATCCGCACCAGACTTTCCAGAGAGAACAATGTAAGTGCAATATCGATATTTAAAAATACAGGATTACATATTTATCTCAAAGTATTAAAATAAGAAGTGGAAGTGATTTGTGTCGTGTAATTTTTCAATTCTACATCCAATCCGTATCCTTCAGTTCTACATAAACAGAAACACTTTGTTTACCCATTTAAAATGGAATATTCCAGAAAGTGCAGAGGTTCTGGGAGGCTTGAGCCTCGACTGTGCTGAGCGGAGAAGCCACTCACTGCCCATGAGGGGGGCGGGGATCACGGCTGGGATCTTCCCAGGCATCGCTGCCTCCCCGCCCTCCCTGGAGCAGGAATCTGCAGAGATCCTGCTGGTGCCCCAGGAGAAGGGCCTCTCCCATGCAGGCAGTCAGGGACGTCAGCAGCGGATACTTCCTGAGTCTGCGTTTCCACTGGCCTTCCTCTCAGGGCCAGAGAACTCTCTGTGCAAGCTGACAAAAGGCAGCCTAGTCACAGGGGCCCATGCCGCCTCTTTCTAGCTTAAAACTACTGCCCTGGCACCTGCCCCCACATCCAAGCTACCCCAGAGACTCCCAGCTCAGAGAGCACCAAGAGTGCTTTCTTTGCGGGGGACACCCCTCTCACCCCCGTCCCTCTGGGAACAGTATCCCCAGGCCACATCCACTTGCCAGGCACAGCTGATCACCTAGAAGTTTCCCTGGCCCGGCACCCTCCCCCGGCACCCACTCCCCACACCGTGACCAAGCTATGGAGCTTCCCTAGCAGCCCAGATGTTCCACCTGCTCCTTTCCAGCTGACACCGCCCCACCCCGGGGTCCCCGTCCCGCCCCATGGCCATGGGGTTGGCTGTGATTTCCTCTGTTCTTGACCCTCACGATGGCGGCCGGAGGGGCGAGGTCTCCCGTGTCGATTCTGCGGCTCAGTGCCTCGTGTGTGAGCCGCATCTCAGCCGCTGCCTATGTGGAAGACCAGTTCTTCTTACCCCAGAGGGCACCATGTGTGTGGATGTGTGTTATGCTCACGTTACGCAGGCAGACGGCGCCGAGGGCTGGTGGGGTGGCGGCTGTGGCGCGGCGTTTAAGACACCTGATCTTCTCACACTCATTGCAGTTTCTGAGTTGATGTTTTGACGTTCGTGGGCATGGCTGTTAGAGCAGTTCCCGCCTCCGCTGCCCCACCGCAGGCGCAGTGCCCAGGCGTGAACGTGCGTGCGTGTGCTGTCGCCGTTGAAGGGCCGATCCTGCCGGACGCAGGCCGCTCACTGTGCTCTGTGGCCCCGGGGGGCTCACTCGGTGTCACATCCGCTGTGGGTTTGGACAGTTGCCTAAGAACAGGTATTGGCCGGTGCAGTGTCTCACGCCTGTAACTGTAATCCCAGCACTTTGGGAGGCCGAGGTGGGTGGGTCGCTTGAGGTCAGGAGTTCAAGACCAGCCTGGTCATCATGGTGAAATCCTGTCTCCACAAAAAATACAAAACCTTGCCAGTTGTGGCGGTGTGCCCAGCTACTCAGGAGGCTGAGGTGGGAGGATCGCTTGAGCCTGGGAGGTGGAGGCTGCAGCGAGCTGAGATGGTGCCACTGCACTGCAGCCTGGGTGACAGAGCGAGACCCTGAATCAACAAATACATAATAACAAATATTCACCGTGGCAGCGTCACACGGAGTCCACCACCCTTGACTGCTGTCCGACACCCGCCGCCCGTCCCTCCTCCGCCCGGCGCCGCCCTCTCACTGTGCCCACGGCCTCCGTGCCGCAGTCTCGGTCTCACACTCTCTGGAATGCCCTGGAGCCGGAGCCTGCCACCTGCAGGGAGTTTGCTGGGCTCGCCCTGGGGATGCGGCCGTCAGGGAGGGCAGGAAGGGCGTCTCCCGGGGCGGCCGCTGCGCGTCCCGGGCCTGACTTCCCTCTCTTCGTTCCCCCCAGGCCTCGCCAAGCCCATCGGCCTGGTGGAGGGGCCGGGGGGCCTGGGCCAGGGCGGCTTGGCGGCCACCCTGCGTGACGACGGCCAGGAGGTGGAAGGCAGCTATGAGGAGTTCGGGTACAACGCCCAGCTCAGCGACCGCATCTCCCTGGACCGGAGCATCCCTGACTACCGGCCCCGAAAGTGAGTGCCCCCGCGCCAGCCGGGACCAACCCGCGAGGTCTGACTGCGGGACCTGCCGTCGGGAACGGGGCGGGGACCCCGGGCTGTCACTCCTCTTGCCTCCTCCCTTCCCTCTCTCTCCTCCCTGTCTCTCTTCTCCTTCAGGTCTCTGTCTCTCCCGCTTTCCTTCTCTCACTCTCTCTGGATCTGTCTCTCTCTCTGTGTGTCTCTCCCACTTCCTGCTCTCTTGGCTGGGCGTCGGCCGTGCCAGGCGAAGGCGTTTCCGGTTTCCATCCGCAGCCTGCGCACCTCCCATCCCATCACCCCAGGCCCGGCTTTGCCTCAGCGCCACTCGGGTCAGAGCTGGTCTGTGACCCTCACGCCCATCTTGATGGAGCAGCCAGGACAAACGCTGCATCGGTGGCGGATAAAGTTCACCCCGAGCTCGGCCTCTGGGACTGGGAACGACTGGCAGACTGGGCCGGCCCCTACCCCAACCCCTCCCGTGCTTCCCTCCCAGAGCCCAGCCCGCAACACAATGCTGCCCCAGAGTCCCTGGCGGCCTCGGCCCGCAGAAGCTGGGTGCTTGCGCTGCGCAGTGGGATCGAGTTGTCACCGTGGAGTGGCAGCGGGCGGCCTCAGCCACACTTGCCTCCTCCTGGAGCTGCCAGAGGGAGGAAGGGCGGGCAGGTGGCAGTGCCCTCCGCGGCTCCTGGTGTGGTCAGCCTGCCCCGTCCGCCAGCAGGCCCTGACACCAGATGCTCGTTTGAGATGGGGCTGGGGAGGCTGGCAGGGAAGTGGTGGGGGGAAGGTGAGCCTGAACCGCATTCCTCATGCCTCGGGCACTGGTCCCCAGGGCATTCACTCACCTGCTCCGGGGTTCCCCGCGTGTGGACGGAGGGGAGGTGGGACAGCCAGGCAGACCCGCGGGGTCCAGGGGTGCAGGGAGCGCCCCAGGCGGCCTAGAAGAGGGTGGGGGGGCTCGGAGCTCCGTGCTCTGGCCAGGTGGTGCCTCACGTGGGGCGTGCCCAACTCCCCAGCAGCTGGAGGTGTCTCCATACATCCTTTAGACAAACAGGGCCGAGGCCGGGGCACCGAGGCTTCCACAGCTCCGCCACCTCCAGAGTGTGACAACCTTGTTTCCTTTCATTCCGCTTATTTTCATGGTTTCCATGATTTAACACGCGTACTGCCAGCATTCCATTTGCAGCGATGAAACAAAGATTCCTTTTCAAATAAAAAATGCATTTAGTTTTAAAATAGGCCAATTTAAAGAAACACACTCCATAAATAAGAACACAGTGATGTTTTCATGTGGCGCCAGCTACAGGCACGGGGCTGGAGTGACTTTGGTTTGGAAAGCGGCTCATGCGCTCGTGTGTTAGCCCGGCCTGTGCACTGAGGGTGCATGATGTGTGTGTGTGCATGTGCTGGTGTGGGTGTACGTGTGTGCATGTGTGCATGTATGTACATGTGTGCGTGTGTGTACGTGTGTGTACATGCACGTGGGTGTTCATGTGCGTGGGTGCGTGGGTGTACGTGTGGGTGTACGTGTGTGCTCATGTGTGTACATGAGCACACACGTGTGCATGTGCATGCATGTATGTGTGGGTTTTTTAACACTCCTGTGTGTCCTGAATTTGGGGGTGACACTAGTGTGCCGTTAGGGCTCCCTCACTGCTGGAGTGAGTGCCGTCCTTGGCCGTGAGCCTCCAGTCAGCTGTTGTGCAGCAGGAAAACCCCTGAGACCACCTTGACGTTCCACAACTCTCTAGAAGGATAGACAGAGCCCAACCAGGCTGCTTTTCCCTGCTGAGGTTTCTCACAGCAGAGGACACAGGTTAAAGTCAGCAGGGGGAAGAGACACCCAGGCAGGGCCCAGGAGAGGCGGGGCATGAGCTCCCAGGTGTCCTCTTCCAGGGCATCCTGTGGACTTGATCCTCCAGCACCGACGTGTGACAGCGTGTGCCAGGTGGGACCAGCCGGGGAGCCCTCTGAGTCTCGGCGTCCAAGAATCCTCACTGAGTTGGTCTTACGGACGTGGCCGACCTCGGTCTCCACCCTCCAGAGGTCAAGCTGACGCCATGAGGCCACAGCCCCACCATGAACCCCGGTGCAGCGCAGACCACCGGGGTGGCTGAGGCTGGGTGAGCAGGGCTCTCTTCTTAGCAGCAGGTTCCAGGGCCTGGGGCGGGCAGGGCCTGGGGCAGGCAGGGGCCGGGTGCAGATGCTCAGGGTGTGGAGGAGCCGCCTGCCAAGTTAATGCTTTCCTGCTCACACTGCGAGAGTGGAAACACCACAGCCCACCTGGCAGATGAGGGGTCCCCAAGTGCCCTGCCCCTGTCCCCACCTCTCCTGCCCCCATCACTCCTCCCCTGTGACTTGAGGGGCTTCCGGCTGTAAGGAAGGAGCTGCTCTCCTGGCCTGCCTGTTTTATCTCCTGGCTCTTGCTGTGAGGGAAGGAGGCTGCCTCCGAACCCTGCAGGCCGTCAGCCCCCTGTGGAACCTTCTGGAGGATCCCAGCACAGCTGTGCATGACCTCAGTCGGTCCAGTTGGCAGGCGGGGGCCCCGTGCGTCCAGTCGTGGGGGCTGGGTCATCTCTGAGTCAGGACTGAACCCTAGCTGCAGCTGAAGCCCCAAGTGACCCCTGCGTCCCCCAAGGCTTGTTTTCCGGAGGCGCGGGAGACTGGGCCCTGGGTGCTGAGTGCAGGGTGGGTGAGGGTCTCTCAGGGCCCAGCCTCATCCCGTGCCAAGGGATGGCTTTTCTAGCACAGGCATGGGCCTGGGTTGGCTTTTCTGGCACGGACGTGGTCCTGGGGCCTTAGGTGTGTCTCGTCATTTGCCTCCTGAGGTCCTGTCCCCGGCTCCAGGTAGAAGTCCCCGCCCCCCACGCTGATCTATTTCAGCCCAGCTTTGGAGGCCCTGGCCCAGGTCTAAGCCAGTCAGAGCATGATGGTCACCCCAGGCACAGAGGATGGCTCAGGGCTGGTCAGGTGGTTTCAGCCGGTCCAGTCACAATGAATTCTGGAATTACCAGGGGGCCATCAAGAGAAAAACAACCAGGCTTTTCCCACAAGGTGAAACGGCAAGGCTGGGAGATGAGGGAGTGGCAGCCACCTTCTCATCAGGAGGAGAGAGCTCGGAGTGCCCAGGGCCCCTGTGAAACCCAAGAAGGGGCTGGTGACTGAACACTGGATCCAACTGTTCCTGAAGCCAACATGTCTGGCTTTGCAAGAAATTAGCACACGCTTGCATGCACACACACACACATACACGTGCGCACACATACCTACTTGATGTTTTGTGTGAGCACCTCTGAATTGGGTTTTCTGTTCTTAGAACCACAGGGGTCACAATAGATTCCCCTGCTGTGGAATGTGAACCCCTAGGCCTGGCCTTGCTGTATTGCGAGCTGATTTCTCTGCTGTGGGGTGTGAACCCCCAGGCCTAACCTTGCTGTAGCGGGAGCTGATTCCTCTGCTGTGGGGTGTGAACCCCCAGGCCTGGCCTTGCTGTAGCGGGAGCTGATTTCTCTGCTGTGGGGTGTGAACCCCCAGGCCTGGCCTTGCTGTAGTGGGAGCTGATTTCTCTGCTGTGGGGTGTGAACCGCAGGCCTGGCCTTGCTGTATTGGGAGCTGATTTCTCTGCTGTGGCGTGTGAACCCCCAGGCCTGGCCTTGCTGCAGTGGGAGCTGATTCCTCTGCTGTGGGATGTGAACCTCCAGGCCTGGCCTTGCTGCAGTGGGGGTTCCTGCTCTCCTTCTGAGGACCCAGAGCCCTGCTGCCTCCCTGCAGGTGTAGGTGGCCCCCCTGTAGGCAAAAGCGGCCAGTCCCAGCTGTGTTTCTTACGTCGCAGAAGAGGCCATCGGGGTGAATGTGGAAAGAGCTGGCATTTGCTCTGTCCTCACTGATAGAAACCCAATTTATAGATACTCTGGTTTGAAGGCACACAGCTCTCTGCCTCCTGAGTCAGCGAATGTGAATTTTATAGAAATATTTACACATTTATTTATATCCCATTTCTTTCCCCCCAAAATTGAGGAGGCTTTGACACCAGTGACACACACACCCCGCGCCCGCCTGCCTCTGTGCAGATGACAGCAGCTCTCTCGGCTCCGGGCACAGCCCGCTTCCCCACCCCTGCGTCTGCGGAATGGATCACAGGGCACTAGTCACGTGCAACAGCCCTCTCGAGGAGCAAACCACTTATAGAGTGCAGACCCCGGTGGACGCTGGGTCTTATCCATTTCCCAGGGATCCCTTTCCTGAAGGGAACCTGGGCGGAGCCATCAGAACCCTGCGCAGCTCAGCAAGTGTGGCTGGGAATCGTCTCTGTGGTGCCAGGCCTTCCCCTGGGTCCCTGAAGAACCGCGGGCTACAGACCACACATTGCTCACTTAATCCCTGTAGCAAGGCTTAGCGGCACAGCCTGCTAGTGCCCCATTTTACACATGGGGAAACTGAGGCAGGAAAGGTTACGTCTCTTGACTGAGATCCAATGGAGAGTAGGTGGCAGGGCAGGGAGTGGAGCGTAGAGATTTGACAGAAGAAGAGTGCAAATCCCGGCTGTTCCGAAGGACCAGGTGGGGTGCAGGCTGAAAGCTGAGGCCGGGAGCGGCTGGGAGCTGCTCTCAGGGGTCTCTTCCCCCGGGTCTCGTCTCCCTGTGGGGCAGGCTCAGGAGTCTGGGGGCTCCGCTTCTTCCCACGGCGGCCTCCTCCTGACTCTGGGCGGGGGGCACGACCCGCTTCTCACAGACCCTCCCTCTCTATCCCTGCGGGAGGACCTGGCACCCCCTCCACTAGCTGCTTCTGGAAGCTTCCACACAGGCCGTGTCCAGACGGCTTGCTTCATAGACACAGACGGGGCACCGTGATCCGCCACAGGGCGGCAGCGTGGGGCCAGGTGGGGCGGAGCCTGGACTGGGGGAGGGGAGAGCCCAGGGAGGCACCAGCCTGCCAGCCCTTCGTCCTCGGCGCTCCGCGTGTGGCGGCTGCAGCCAGCCGGTCCGCTGACGGCTTCC